TAATTCTTAATATAGTATCAAAACAATTTATAGTATAATATACAACCTTCTATATGATAAGCGATTCAAGTAGTGTTGGTGCCAGTTTTGGTGAAGAAGTTGGTATCAGCATTGTTAGTGATGGTATAGTATTAGCTTTATTGGTGCTAAAGAAACAAGGTCTATATTATTTAACTGTTGCGAAAGACCAGTAGTACTGTTAAATCGTCGCTTTGATCATTATTGTCATTAACACCTTCATCTTGTCTACTTGGTGTTGTAGTTCAGAGTGCCTTTTTTAGTTTTCTTATTTCATTAAGTAAAGTATGAACCGTATCTTTCAAAAAACTTATTACTAGTATTATAAAATAATTTGTTAAACCTATTGGTAAATCAATAGCTTTATAAAAAAAAAAGAAATTTTACTAAAACTTGCGAAATTAAATTAATTGTAAATAGTATTAAGATTGTTTATTCGCAAGTTTCTGTAAAGTAAAAAAAAAATTCATATAGCTTATATCACCTTCGTCATTTTTATCTCATGAACTAGAATAGTATTTAGAATATTTATTATTTTTATCATTTCTCGGGGATCTAGATCTAGACCTAAACCTAGACTTTCGCTTATAGCTTTCTGACTGATAAGAGTTTCGGTTTGATCAGGAGGAGTTGAAGAGTAGTTGTGGCTTGAACTAACACTGTGAGAAGTTGTAGAATAGTCACAGCTATAGTTTGAATAATAACTGTGATTTGATGATATAGAAGGCAAAATAGATCGATGATAGCGTACAGTATTTATTTTAAAAGGTCTTCTGTCTTGCATTTTTCTAAAAGAAAATAAAAGTAAAAATGTAGAACCAAAAATATCAAAAAGGTTTTTTGTTTAGTAATATTATTTGTTTGATAGTTTTATTTAAAGAAAGAAAGAAAAAGAAAAAAATCATTTTTTATATATATAATTCACCTTAGACTAAATATGTAATACTGCTATACTTAATTATTGAATGACAATATAATAGTTACTTCTAAATAAAATATAAACGAAGCGAAAAGTATATCAACTAACGTAGCTCAAATAAAAGTATGATATATTACAATATGAAAGAGTAAATCTGCTAATGTGTATTTAAAAGAATATATGATATATTATATAAAATGAAAGAGTTAAATCAGTTATCGTAAGCATAAAAAAAAAGTGTGACTTATTTATAGATTTTAGTTAGATCTTATTTTCGAATAATTGTCCTCTGAGTTAAAATAGAATATAATCAGACTTGCATGATCTATGTATAGAAATTAAAATGTATATTATGCAAGTTCGATTTGTTTATATTAAAAAAAAACCAGAATACTGATAGCTTTATTTTTATTTTATTACAATACATTAAATATATTAATTACGAATAAGTTTAATTTTTATACAAAAAAAACTATTGATTAACTATTAATTGTATAATAAAATTTGTTAATTAAAATATACAGAAAATATGCTAATATTTCAAATAGATTTAAAAGCTGATCAAGTTTAATCATCAAAAACAAAAAGTATAATTTTCAAAACAAAAAGTCTACTTGTCAGCAAAAGCAAAAAGACCTATTGGCATACCGATTTTTTAATAGTTTAAAAGCTAATAAAGTCTAATTATTACAAAAAGTATAATTGGCAAAAACAAAGAGTTTACGTTCTAATAGTAAGTATTAAATATATTCTGATAGAAAATTAATAAAATGGAAAGTATAATTAACTAAACTTAAAGTTTAATTGTCAAAATAAAAATATATATTTGTTAGTATAATTGTCAATAAAGAGTCAATAAGACATATTGGCATTTCAATACGTTTTTAAAAGAATCTGATTACATATAAATAAAGCTTACTTTTATTAAATTAGAAACTATTATTCTCTTTCTTTGTTTTCTCCTGTCTATTTCTCTTGTCTCTTGCTTATACCTTTTGTTCATAGATTATATCACTTGTTCTTTTGCTTATATTTTGGTTCATATATCTTTATACATGCTTATAACCTTCATTTATATTTTTTTTCTGGTCTACATATTTTTTTTTTGTTTATATCTATCATAGGCTACAAAAAAAAAAGTTTGATTATTAAAAAAACAATTGAAAAATCTAATTACTAAAAGTATCCAGATACTTGCTACCTGTATCTTATTATTGTAATAATTGCAAAGGCTGTCTTGTTGATCCAAGAACCAAAACAGCTTATATGAAATCAAGAAATACTATAACACAAAAAATTAATGATGTTGTTGAATCTTCAACAAGCAAAACAAATTCTACTATTGATCCAAATGTTATTATAGATCTTCCCGAAATGAACTTTCCTGAAATTAATATTTCAGAAAAACCTATCCAGATTGATAGTTCCGATAATAATTCTGTAATATCTCTATACCCTGAGAATTATAGTTTTACTACTAAAAAACAAGACAAAAAACCAATTGGTGAGGGAAAGATCAGTACTGTATTATCTATTGAAATTGTTGATATTTTATTCTTGGATGAAGAAGTTGAAGATTTTAATAAAATTCTTTTAGATGAAGATGAAGATCTATCTGATCAAGAGATAGATTTTAATATACTGGCAATAATGTTTGAAAATATTAATCAAAAAGAATCCATAGATATCAATAATAATTTTATGTGAGTTGCCCTATGGATTTTTAAACACCAAAAAAGATATCGGTTGTCTGATATAGCTTTTAATTCATTTATGAAACTAATTCAGTATCTTCTAAACTATTTTGATGCGAATATATATTCTCTTTTTCCTACATTATTGAGTAAAGCATATGATGCTCTTGGTGTCTGCACTCATATGATAAAATATACAACATGTGAAAAATGTTGTAAATTGTATAATGTTACTGACTTGTCCTCAACAAACCAAATTCGGTCTCTAAAATAAGTCATTGTAATTATCAGGAATTTTCTAATTATCCAATAGCAAATCAACGATTTTTTTGCAATTATCCAATTGTTAAAAAAATTTTAACATCAAAAAGAGATATATACAAACTATTATCAATCTATCTGATAGCTTCTTTAAGTCATTAATTGCAGTCGTTATTCAATAAAGAAGGATTTGAAGTATCTTGTAAAAAATAGGCCAATAGATATGACAACTCAGAATAACTATCTGATATATATGATAGAAGAATATAGAAAACTTTTTAAGATCTGGAAGAAGATTTACCATTCTTCTGTAAAGAGCTATCAAATACTCATTTGGGCTTAATGCTTAACCTTGATTAGTTTCAACCATTCTATAATTCTTAATATAGTATCAAAACAATTTATAGTATAATATACAACCTTCTATATGATAAGCGATTCAAGTAGTGTT